TGATGATGAAATGATTTCCATTTGGCGTTTGTCGACAGACCGAATTGGCAACCATATAAAGCACGGCCTTGTTCCTGTAAATATATCTGTTAAGCTAGTTTGTAAAACAGTTTGTTTAAAATATTTTGAACCAAATTGGACATAAAAAACGGGAACATGATCTCGTATGTCGTTAACATAACGATTGAAATGCATCTATTTAATATGTATGATGGAATGTAAGCCAATTCCGTTCAAACATTTTTTCCATTTTGAGCTACCTCAAATTATGTTATATGTATAAACGAAACTACTTTGCTTACCATAATAAATGTTAAACAAAGATGCATTTCAGTCATTCATTGTTGGTCACCAGTTGTCTTATATGAACATGATTTAATCGTCGCAGATATTTCAAAATAAATGTACATACCTTGAATGCACACAAGTGTCCATAGTAACTCAACGGTAATCAGTTTGAGACCAGGGATAAACATTTGTGTGCCGGTTCGTCGTTCAGTGAGGCAATCACCTGTCAGACCCTAATCAATCAGTGATATAGTTTCTAAAATGAGCCTTTATTTATATATGTGATTAGAATAATGTATATACCCTTGCTATATGACTATCAATAATGTCATAATTGAATAGCGATTTAATATCTCGCCAAATTAATCGACCGTTTTAGAACGAGTATTTGTTTGAAACAAACACTCGAAATATATATCATCTAGATTCCTATTCATCTGTGTTTCCACATCCCATATATCTTATTAAAAACCATTTTGAAAAATACTTTGATGAATCGATGCGAAAGAGGTTGTTCGTTTAGTACCGAGACCCATGAACTTTAACACGTCGGTCAGATATTAAATATTTGTGAATATTTTTCTATATAATTGAAATTCTCGCGTTTTTTACAACCCTATGTAACTTTAGTAGACTCTATCATGTATTGATCTGGATGAGTCCATTATGGTCTACAGCGGTGGAAGGGATAAGATAATATCAATAGGAATTTATTGTTGTTGACATAGGAAGAAGAAACAAAAGAATACCGAAATATCAACCGTAATTCGAATTACAAATCGTTTCATTAGAACTAGGCCAAATTATGGACAATGTAAACATTAAATATTTATTTGGAGATCTTTTAGAAGTGAAGAGGAAATAAGACAAGGTGTTCCGGAAGGGTAAGCGTCTCCTGCTTTATCGCCGACGCTCGACATTTAAATCTTTGTCGAATTCAAGTAATGTCACGTCCTCAAAGCGAGAAATAGGGTAGTGACAACAAAACAACAAATCAATCTAACGAGCATAATACAAATTATTGACCTCTATATAACAAAACAACAAGATCACCCAGCCCCCAAACGCTATACAAGAAGTTATTTCCCAAGAAGCAGTGGAATACAAATAAATGCAGTTAAAAGAATTATAAACATCCGAAGTCAAATTACCTAAGGATTAACTTTCTATTTTGGTCAGATTATGAGGTGAAAATTCGAACTGAGTCACCCGTTAATTGAATAGATTTGATGGCGAAGTAAACTTACACGTGCTCAACTTGAGTAATCATGCATCTCATAACAATACCAAGATAGAAAGCATTTCCTTTGTTCTGTGTGTGGTTTATTACCATTTTATACAATAGTCTGATCAGTGAATACAAATTTAATTTCAAAACTTGTTAACAGATCATCGGTTCAGTTAAAGTAACAGCAAGAAGTTGTCATAAGCTTTGGTTCATTCCGCCATCATCAACTGTTGATGACGTCACACATTTATGTCTCGTTCGCAGTAAGATAATCTGCATAGCTCCGCCCACATGTATTGTTGTCGACGTCATGGAAACTTGTCACGTTCTATAGTCGGGTTTTAAGACGATAAGGCCAGTTTGTAGTGACAAAGGTTATCGATTGAATGTAAGTTTAGACTGTTAACATATTCTTCTGATGTGAAACAAATGCAGCAGGTCTGGTTTACTCGGTTAACAATAAATAAATGGAATCCATCTTTACCCCATTTGACATATTTCATCGTTGTAATACACAAGACGGAAAACTACTATTAATACAAATGCACTCAAAGAACACATATAAACAATTTAGCAACATTTTGTAAAATTTACTAGATGATTTGTTTCGGATAGGCTTGTACGAGTTGTCTACCTTTTAAATAAAAACGCAGTTATTATTTTAAGGATTTTCCTACCGCTGCCGCAATCGTTATTACATATTTTGAAACTGTTTTTTTCCGCCATGACTATAGCTGCCCAGTCAACGGGAAAAAATGTCTTCAGTTATATCCAAAACGAAAATGAGGAGAGGTTACTGCGATACAAAAACACACTTCAGTGGGACAGGAATCCTGCATATATTTTTAAATATATCAAGCTTTGGGTATATTTGATACTTTAAAATGGTTCTTATATTTTTCATGAACATTGAATATTTTGTACACATTATGTACAATTATAATTGGAATAAATAACGAACATATCTGTTTGCAAACCTACTCAAAGCTACGTACAATTTGTTTCTTTGTATAATATTGCTGTTATATTAAGATACATTAAAGTTATTAATATCGCTTCGTTTGACTTTTAGAAGTCCCACTCCTCCATTAACTGACTTTTTGCACATTTACGATAGCATAGCCGTAGGAACCAAGGCGGTGGGGGGGGGGGGGGNCTTCATATAAACATCATATGTTGTAGTTTTGTAACTTTTCAAAATGGTCTATAGCGAGGTTTAAGGCTGATGATTCCATACAAACAGTTCACTTGACTTATGACATGTCAATCTCTTGTGCAGCCCGTAATGACATATCATCTTTAGTTCTTTTATATACTAAGTACTTTAGTCATTCGAAAACAAGTTTATCTTATACCTAGCTGTTGAGAGGCACACTCCCCTTCAAATTAACATTGCTGTGGCTTTAGGAAACCACAAGTATCACAGTGAAATGCACTGAAATTGCGTTTTACTGTATATGAAAATTGATTTTGACCCAAAATATGTACCACTGTATAGTATTTAAACGAGGTAGTATACCAACATGGGTGATGAAATAGATATCATTGTATATAAACGACAGCTGGCATATCAAAGGTTTACTGTATGCAAATAAGGTTGCTGAATCAAACAATCACTGTTTATAAACGAGGGGTACATTATTGAAGTTTTACTTTATACAAACAAGGATGCTAAATCAACATGTCACTTCATATAAAAGAGGGATGTCATATCGCAGTGTTAATGTATACAAACGAGAGGTCATATATCGAAGTTTTACTTCGGAGTATGCTGAATCAAATATCACTATATATAGATATAGCTGCTCTCGTTTATACAGATAAGGTTGCTGAATCCAAATATCACTGTATAAAAACGAGAGCTGCTATATTAAAGTTTTACTTTATACAAACAAGATTGATGAATAAAACTGTCGCTGTATATCAACGACAGTTGGCATATCAAAGTTTTACTGTATACAAATAAGGTTGCTGAATCAAAATATCACTGTATAAAAAGAGAGGTGCTTTATCAGTTTTTATAGTATACCAACATGGGTGATGAAATAGATATCATTGTATATAAACGACAGGTGGCATATCAGAGTTTTAGTGTATACAAATAAGGTTGCTGAATCAAAGAATCACTGTTTATAAACGAGGGGTACAATATTAAAGTTTTACTTAATACAAACAAGGATGCTGAATCAAAATGTCACTTCATATAAAGGAGGGATGTCATATCGCAGTGTTAATGTATACAAACGAGAGGTCATATATCGAAGTTTTACTTCGGAGTATGCTGAATCAAATATCACTATATATAGATATAGCTGCTCTCGTTTATACAGATAAGGTTGCTGAATCCAAATATCACTGTATAAAAACGAGAGCTGCTATATCAAAGTTTTACTTTCTACAAACAAGATTGATGAATCAAACTGTCGCTATATATAAACGATAGGTTGCATATCAAAGGTTTACTGTATGCAAATAAGGTTGCTGAATCAAACAATCACTGTTTATAAACGAGGGGTACACTATATTGAAGTTTTACTTTATACAAACAAAGATGCTGAATCAAAATGTCTCTTCATATAAAGGAGGGACGTTATATCGCAGTGTAAATGTATACAAACGAGAGGTCATATATCGAAGTTTTATTTTATACAAACATTTCTGATGAATCAAACTGTCATTGTAGTTTAAAGAAAATTGCATATTAAAGATTTACTATATGCAAACACGGGTGCTGAATCAAAATATGTCTGTATTTAAACGACGGTTATAATATACATAGACCCTAGTACTTACAAGAGGAATCACGTTGACCGTGACGCCGACAGAACACCGACCTCATTCAGTGAGACGAAACCCGCATGGGTGGAGTCATGTAGGCGATAAACCCGTCAATCAACCAACTATTGTTAACGTTTATGAACGGATTATCAATAGATTACCGTATATATAATAAGAGTTGTTTTATTAAGGTTTTACTGCGCTCCTTTATTGAAATAATTTGAGCCCTCGTCTGGTCAGACGCGGTAATGCTTTATTGTGTATGACCGAATGCTGTTGTATAAGGAGTATAAAAGCAGTGTGTATTTAATCGGTATTATTTTTAATTTTGTTAATTTTCGAAGTAAAACAGGTAGTCGATAACGGGTTCCTTTAATTTGCAGAGCTTTTCACCAGTGCAAATAGAGAATAGATCGGGGTATACCTCTGCTGTATTTAGTGTTGCTGGCCCTTTCATCAAATTATCACAAATAATAGCCGAGTATAAATCTCACAAATTAAGTTTTCAGTACAAATCAACCCCCTTCCCCGATTATCTTTTAAGAGTACCTTATTTGACAATGATCATTTTAGAGAAGCATATTTTATTTCACAATAATGCAAACATCACATATTTTAAGTTAACCTAATATCCGTCTAATCTATTGAAGCTCTTTAAAAAAACAACTCGAAGGGTACGAATCGATACTACACAATATAGCAGTGAGTCACTCGTCACATCACAGTAGTCAATCCCAACAGTAGCGGTGCACCGTGGACAGTTTGTGTATGTATAACTGAGAGAATGGCATATTTTTAACCATCAAGTCTGGTTAAATAGAAGTCATGTTGGTCGACTCGGCGTTATTAGCAAAAAGAGATAAGGCTTTAAAGTTTGTGTTCAATATACATTGTCGAAGGTTCACGAATGCTACGTACAGAACGGTAGGTACAGACCGCGAGCGTGTACCAGTAACACCAGGAGATGGTATAACGTCGACAACGATCAGATAACGGTGAGTTGCCCATCCTAATTATGCATCTGTGGGAGAATATTGTGATGCCCGATTGCAAGTTTGATAAAATTGTTGTTCTCTTTTTTGAACTTACATGCTAAATATAGCACACACGCCAATTCACGGCGTGTGTAACATAGCTCATAGCACCCACTTCTGTGTGTGTGTATCCGTGTCTTACAGACACATTTCTGTAGTTTTCAAAAAACGTCTCTCGTTAGTGTGTTGTTTAGTGTGACTTTAAAATTTCTAGTGAATGGTAAACGTCTAATGTTAATGATGGCCAGAAGACATATTGAGTAGAATAGACGTACTTGAACTATGTAATAATGTATACTACCAGTTGGATATACGTGTTAGAGAGGAAGCCAGTCTCGCTGTATGTGTGTGGTTTATACTTGTTCAAGAGGAAGCGAGTCTCGCTGTAGGTGTGGTTTAGTGCGAGCTTTTGTTCGTGTGCAGCAAACATCTGAGTTTAAATGCCAAAGATCCAGGGGGAAAACTATTTTTTTCAACACATTGACATTCCTTCTTGATACACGATACCCGGCCTTTTTCTATGTAAGTTAATGAGCACATAAGAAATGATATATACACTCCCATGAGGCTGGGTGTCCTGTAAACTTCCTGTCCAAAATATTCAAAAGAATGTAATCATGAAGATCGAGCGATCAATAACACAACTATAACACAATTGTAGTATATCATTACTAATAACAAATTAAGAATGGTATATATACAAAATTAAGTTAGTGTGAGGTAGTCATAGGAAGACAAAGGAAACCCTCTTTAGAACAAAGATTGTGTAAAACATGTCTTGTTCTAGAAAATGAGAAACATTTCTTCTTCAGATGTTGATTAAAGCACAACTGTAAGCGTAGTCCTACAACCGTACCCTCCCACGCTTTTGGAAAAACTATATAATTGTGTCTATTAAATTGAAGAATGTCCCTGAACACGACGGCACTTGTTGCTATGTGACATACATGTATAATGTTTTTCAGTATTTTGTTGTTGCATTGGTTAATATCAATTATTAATAATTGTACCATATTGACAAAGTGATACTCCCAGGACAGCACATTGCCGTCACGCCCCAGTTAAACTCACAGATGAGGTCCACTGAAGCGTGTTATAAAGGTTTCAGGGCCCTTCACTTAGGTTTGATCAAACCCATTATTTAATGTATGGCCTCTGAGGTTTTTTAAGATTTTAAATGGTATTTCAACATCTCTTTTACCAAACCTTGTGGAGAGGAAGGAATTTAAATTGTTTACAACCTCAGAAATGATTAGGTTTCCAAAGGTGAACTCCTTCATCTATGGTAAAAGGCCTTTTCGTTTTGAGGCCTCCCGGTTGTGGAACAGCTTGCCAAATGAGCTTAAGTTAGCTGAAAATTACAAGTCGTTTCGTTGGCTGTATTTGTGTAGGTATATTGTAATGCCTGATTGTACGTTTGATGCAATTGTTATGAAATTGCCTTGACGGTTTACATAAATTGGTATTCTTGTATTTAACTAAACTACATCTAAAGGTATTTAATTAGTAAAAATTGCACACACGCCTATTCACATCAAGTACGTGTTACAACATACGTCGTCTGCTAGAAGGCACTATACAGGTCTTATAACATCGTGTGTGTGTGTTCTACTTGAAATTAAAGCACACCGGAGAACTCTGCCTGTTTTTTGCCCAAAAATGACACAAATGACACAAGACATTTATTGTTGTAATAGTGCATTTATTCAAATGCCAAAGTCTAATAGCATTTAGCAAAATGCCAAAAACCATGTTTTGGATTGTAATTAAGATATAATGTTATAGGCAAAATAGGTGGGACTAGGTATAAAATAGTTGTCCACAAAAACTTGATGGAGTTTTAAAATACAACTCGAATCAAGTTGGCCGGTAATATAAAGCTCTTTGGAAAAACCAAACATCACGTGTACAAAAACTCCATGCAGTGACTTTTACGCTTCACAGTGCAGTGATCCCTATTATCAATATTTCCAATATCAATTAACTTCCTAAGAGCGATTCTCTCGGTGTGCAAAAAAAATCTACAATTGTATGTACAATTAGGGCTCTGGCAAGCCACAAAAATATCATGAAAATATCGGGGAACAACAATGTCATTCGTATCAATATTAAAAAAAGAGTGAGCACCTGGATTAGTGTATCTTTTTGAAGTTTACGAAGTGTTAATGCTAGACGAATACAAATCTCTGGAAAGAAAAAAAAGTTTTCTTTTGTTTTTTCATTTTGATATATAGATTAATGAAGAAATCATTTCATTGTTCAATTATATAACAGAAATGGTTTACAGTCTCTTGTTAAATAGACCTGCAAAGACAAAAGCAGTTTTAAGCACACTCCAGGAAAATATGCCCGCAGGACCTGGCCTCTTGTTATAGAATATATAGTAGACCAAACTTGATTTTAGTAAGACATTTAAATCAGTTTAGTGAGATTCCATTTTTTTAAATATAAGTATCTCTCCCCCCCCCNAGCATTTTGCTCAGATCTTGAAGAGGATAATGATCTTACTTTCATTGCGCAACATACACACAACTCGTGCCTAAAATAATACTGTCTGCATAAGGATTAACCATTATCGATTAAGCAGTCACTGTTCACTAGAGATTACGTGCAGGTTCCAATGCCAAACATGATATCACTAGAATGTCAACACATAGTGTTTAGATCCCTATTGAGTTACCCAACTGTTTACAACCTTTTTATAAAACAATTAACATAAACCCTTTCACCACTGTAGACCATAATGGACTCGTCCTTACCAATGCATGGTAGGGTCTACACAAGTTACATAGGGGTAAAAGGGTTAACTAATTGCTTCCTATTGTAAACAAAAGATCACCCCTGATATAGAGATAAACAGGCCAATACTCTGCCGGGCTGACATTGCTTATACTGTCCTTCCTGGACTATTTTATTTAGATTTGGCCCAATTCTTCACAGAGCCAGCCATAATGATACCGTACATAAAGCGGCATCTATTCATTGCGCATCCACTGGTATAAGTAGGCACCTTATCAACAGATACCTATACAAAAGGGAGAAACGCCATAGAAATTGCTGCGTCTATTTAAGGATTTTATAGCCAGTTCACGTTTCATAAGACACGATTGAATTACAACAACTCACACAGGGTTAGATGTGTTAAAGTATTCATTTGCTGCATTTTGTTAAGTGACGTTCCTACCCAGTAATAACCGACACAGGGGATACTTTTCAAAGGATGCCTAGGACCCACAGGATATCTGCTGCAAAGCCCTGTATCAGCAGCCTAATCGTGCCCCATATGGATACATATATCATCAGTGTTGTACACATATACAGTTATGTTTTTTAGTTTTGAGATTGTTTGTTTGTTCTTTTTGAGTGGTTTTACATTCGCTTCACAATATAGTGTCATAACGTACCGGTAACGAAAGTTAAGGATAAGTGTAAAAAGTCAACAGGATTAGAAAACACCGACCATGTATTAACAGCGACGAGAGGTTAAAATAGGTTTACAACGATCCAACGATTTGTTTATAATAGGAAACGATTTTCGTATCAGTATTTTCACCAGTGGTCAAGATTACGGTCTGTCGGCGAAATATCCTGGATGAGAACTTCCTTTTTGTGCATTGCAGGGAATAAATGGAGTCATCGTAACAAACATAAAAACTTTCGGTTGAAGATTTATTTGTTTCTATACGTAAGCGCAGATAAAAAGCGTAAGTAACCCGACTGCTGCATATATTTATGTCATAGTTCTATATAATTGTCATAGTAGTTTCTTAGCCCGTATTCATAAAACCATTCTCCTACTCAAGCATGCATTCTGTGCTGAAACGACATTTCTCCTACCTTGCATAAATTATGTGACACGGTCAAAAAATTAAAACGTGTTAACACTGAAAATGGCATTCGTCTGTAAGTTTCCCCAGAAATTTCCATATTCAAAATGTCATTTTTCTATTGATTTATCGCCGGAACAAGAAATCTGGCTTGAACACAGAATCTGAGTTTAAGCATAAGAATGATTTGATGAATATGGGTCCGGGTCTATGGTCAGAGTATCTAGAACAAATATTTATGAAGGAACATAAGAGCTCTCGTGGTGACTTTGATTTTATCAATGAAAATATTAAGACTGCATGATACGCCATATTTGACAAATGAGTGAGTTGTGTGCACACTCCTCAAGGAACGAAGAGGACATTTAAAGTTTTAGACATCAATACTTAAAGATTGTAGTTTTAGCTATTGACAACATTGTAGATATACGTACTTACTGTGAGTGCTCGTTATAGTGCGAGAAATCGTAATATCAGTAGTCTAGAGAGAGGAAGACATTACAGATTTTGATATTAACTTAAAGATATGTCTGGGCATATGTAAGTGTATCATTATATTTATGATTTGATATTTTTGATACTATAGTGTAAATATATTACTAGTCTTGGTTATAATTAATATTGTAGATTTTGATAATAATATATAATTAGTTTATGTAATACCTAATATTGTCAATTGTGATACTAAATATAAGTATATTATGTTATATCTAATATTGTAGGTTCTGATACTAAATATCATTCCTTTAAGTCATACTTAATATGGTATATTTTGATACTAAATCTAAGTATTTTATGTTATACTTAATATTTTATATTTTGATACTAAATATCATTCATTATTTTCATATTCAACATTGTCAATTTGAAAATAAAAATGAATATTTTATGTTTTACTTAACATTTAAGATTTTGATACTTAATATAGGTATTTTTTATACTTCACATTGAAGATTTTGATTCTAAATAACAGTTGTCTTGATATTTCTTATATCATTATATATTTTGATACGAAAAACAAAGTATTTCTCGCTATACCTAATATTGTGGATATTGATACTAAATATTTGTTGCCTTTATTATACTTGAAATTATATATTTTGATACCACAAAATTGTATTTTTTATTATACCTGGTATTGAAGATATTGATACTTTATATTAGCATTTAATGTAATACATAGCATGGTTAATTTCGATACTAGTATATTTTATACTTCCCATTGTTGATTTTGCTACTAAATATTAGTAGTCTTGATTAAACTGGTCGTTATATATCTTTATGTATAGAATTAGTGTTTTTTGTTATATCTAACATGGTAGACTTTGATACTAGATATTACTATGTTATCTTATACTTAACATTGTACTTTCTTTTTTACTAATATTAGTAGTCCGTGTTTGGTTGACATTGTAAATTTCTGATACTAAATATTAAGATTTTATGATATTATTTACATTGTAGACTTTGATAATAAATACTTGTTGTTTTGGTGACTCTTGTAACTTTAATAATTCTATATCATTTTAAGTTATCAACAAAATCTTTTTTTAACCAGCAGGACCTGGTTGTAGGTTAGCGTTACCCATTAGTTAGGAAAATGTTTAAATATGAATACAACAAAATTTTGTATAATTCCACTGCTGTATGTTTGAAAGCCCTTATTTGTAGTGGAAACACTTTGATTTTTTCACTAACCACTTGTGACTGTTAACCAACCTTTGGGCAACCGGGGCCAGGTGCTATGATGTACACAATTGTTCATTACTGCTGATAATCTTTTCAACAACCTTTTATCATTTCTAATCTTCTTCAGTAGTTTATAATTTCTTATCCTCTTTAGTAGTTTGCAGCATGCACTATAAGCTGGGGATATCAATTGAACGTCTAACGCAGCCATTTTGCGTGACGTCATCCGTGGTAGGCAACGCGAGATGTAGTATATTTTACATGGTTAAAATTAATTATTAGAATCGGTATTAAGCGCAATTTGAGAAGCGTTTGACAAAAAAAAACACTGTTCTTTTACGCAAAATCAATACATTGAATGTATGTGTACTTACAAATACCTTTCATTTCTCGTTGTTTATATTTGAGGAATAGCTGTAAATTTTGGTCAAGTTATATTTTGATAACTCCAGAAGAGCTCGTGTAAATTGAATAGATGGCGAAGTTATCTAGTCATCTTTTCAATTTACATGTGCTCAACTTGAGTTATCATCTCATAATCTGACCGAAATAGAAAAGTGCATTTGTTAGCTAAGTGGACACAACTTTCATTTTCGAAACTTATTAATGTGTGATGAATTCCAAAAGCAACAGCCTGAGATATACGTAAGCTTTGTGGTTAAATTCGCCAACATATACTGTTGATGACGTCACATAGTCCTGTCTCATTCGCTGAAAGTTTGCATAGGTCCGCCCACTTGTTTTGTGGTCAACGTCATGGAAACTTGTCACGTTCTATGGTCGGGTTATTAGATTATTACTCCAGTTTGGGGGAAACATGGGGATTGAGTGATTGTCAAAGTAAACTATATCTAACATATTTTCCAGGAGGTGACTCTCCAAGTTTCCGAGAAACAGCGCAGATGTTCAACTCGTGTGCATATCGTTCTTGCAATGAGGTAAGATGTATTATTGTATACAGAATAATACAATATATAACCTTTAACTGATGTAGTTGATAGTTGAAAAACCCTTAGAACAGACGACAAATAACATTATGGAGTCAGATCTACTAAAAACTACTGAATGGTCCAAATCTTGGTTAGTTGATTTCAATCCTAAAACAACGGAAAGCATGACTCTTAGTAGAAAAAGAAACATTCAACCCGATCCGATCTTACATATGTGCAATGAAGAAATATCAGAGGTACTGTTGCATAAACATCTTGGAGTTCTTTTTTCGAATAATTGCAGTTGGGTTGAACATGTTAAACAAATAATTCACAAAGCAACGTCTAGATTAAATATCATGCGATCTGTAAAATTTAAACTCGACAGGCAAACATTACAAAATATTTACATTTGGTGTGGCAAAGCCCTTCTATATTACTACTAAAGTACTGCCAATAGCAGCTTCATCTTATGAGACTATAACTGAAGTTGGTCTTTGCACCTCCGAGCGACTTAACAGTGTCACTACCGAACTTATCGGTATCTTCTGCTTTGATCCCTAACACCAGCTGCCTGTTGCAAGTGTCTGTGAGATCAACAAACAATTTTACGCCTGGATTTTTCACCAATTGTGGCAATTCAACCTTCTCCGGTTGCACGATCAATATCAACAACATGCCGGACCGCAAATATAACTCTGACCTGATTACTGCGGGCTTCCGTTGAGTGCGTGCGCCGGATATAGGTCGCAATAAAATCGGAAAATGTTTTACGACACTTGATTAGTTACTTACAAAATGTCATTTGTTACTATTTATGAATCGAGAATATGATATATATATAAATCAAAATCAAATGAATTATTAAAGAAAGTTGCGGAGTCTTTTCAATTCTGTATGGGAAATAGCACATGACGTCAGCTGTTATCTTTGTGCCGTTCTAGATACTGGCCTGGCCTGGCGGTAATAAGCGGGAAATTTGAAATTTGGAAAAGGCATATTTTTTTTTTTTGCGAATTTTCATTATGGAAATATAAATATAAGAAATAAACTGCATAGATGTGGCAGACCAACTGGTATAACTGCCAGTTGGACTGCCACATCTATGCAGTTTATTTCTTAAATATATATTTTTCGTTTATTAGACCACTTGTAGAATATGCTGATACTGTCTGGGATATCATTCCCAAAGAATTTATTTCTAAACTAGAGAATGTTAATTTGGAAGATGCTAGGATTGTTTCAGGTGCTACTAAACTTGTAAGCTTAGACAAACTATATACAGAAGTAGGATGGAATAAATTAATAGACCGTAGACTCCATCATAAATTGTTACAATTCCATAAAATGTTTAATCAAAATACTCCAGAGTATCTGTATAATCTCTTACCTAATTCAGTTAGTGATGTCCATAGTTATAATACCAGATTTTCTGACCCATCATGTCTGACACCTATTCTTTGTAAAACAAATATGTATCAAAATGCATTTCTTCTATCTGCTGTAAACAATTGGAATTCCCTTCCATTACATATTAGAAATAACCCTTCCATTTACCATTTAAAAACCGTTGTGAAATCTAATAAGAAAGCATGTCCACCTTCATACTACTTTCAGGGTTCACGTCTGGGTCAAATCTACCACACAAGACTGCGTATGTCATGTAGCTCCCTAAAAGAACACTTGTTTACGAAAAACATCATACAATCCCCGAATTGTTCCTGCGGTGCAATTGAGAACTCAACACATTATTTGCTAAAATGGAATAAATATACAGCACTTAGACAGCTTCATGTTCTGAGTTTGCCGTATCAACTGATCTTTTACTCTTTGGTGATTACTCTCTTAACCATCGAAAAAACACTACAATTTGTCTAGCCGTCCAAAATTATATATTCAAAACTAAAAGATTTCATTCATTTTGACATAATTTTATTATATATGTATGTTGTGTTGCATTCGTTTTACTACTATGTCTTAAAATGTATTTGGATTTATATGCTTCTTTATACCATATCATGTCACTAACTGGCTATGATTATGATAGATTGATAAAGTGATGTGTAACCTTGAAAGAGCAGGACGTGCCAGGAACGAGGCGGGAAAGTGTTTTATGGACCTATATATTTACAAGTGTGATGGCTAGTATGTGAACTGCAACGTTTTAAATAATCATGGCGGTGCTTTGTGACATACTAATTTTGTCAATAGTTGATTTAGTGGTAATTTATGCTATGTAACTTGTATATACACTTCAACCTTTATCGAGCGTCCATTTACAGCATTGCTGAAATTTTCATCTACTATTGCATAGTTATATTTTACAGAATCGTGTTCCACATACTCATTGCACTATAGCAATATGATATTACCATCTGATGATTATATTTATATTGATATGTTATTCATTCCTGGTTTCCACTGCATATCAATTCATTACCCCCTCCCCTATTCCCGTATTTGTCTGTTGTACATATTACTTCATTCCTGTAGCTACTGTTGAAAAGTTGATTATTAAGCAGGTAACAAATTTACATAAGTGTCACCACAATTGTTTGTGTTTCCTCTTCTGTTCTATAAAACATGTACTTCGATGTATTGCCAAACAAAATTTGAATAAGACAAAGTTTAAACCAAGCTGGGCAAAAGGCGAATACTTTTAATACGATTCTGTAGCAACTCTGTATGTGTCAATTGAGTTTAATACCATATGTTTTAACATTTGAAACTAATACTGCTCGGTTTTCATGTTGTAATAGCCAATATACGTACTAAAGCGGATTTTTCACTTTTTTCCAGATTTCATTTAGACAGAAATCTCCTGGTAATCGCACTTGTAATAATATGGACTGTATATATGAATGAGGTAAGAAGAAGTCTTCAAAATGTAAAATTTCTGCCCAAAACCCCTGGAACCAAGAACATCCATTACTGGAAAAGGCCACCATGGGTTAGCAAGGATTTCTTTTATAACTGCAAACACAAATGTGAAATGACAGAAGGAGAATATATCCCAGAGAATAGTGACGCTGTGATATTTCACACACCGGAGCTATGGGTTGGGCAACCTCCGGCAAAACCTAAGGGTCAAATCTGGGTGTTTCATGGTCTTGAGCCACCGATGAATTATAAAATGTCTTATTACAATTGGCACAACGTATTTAACTGGACAATGTCATACAGACGCGACGCCGACATCTACCAACCTTATGGGATTTTCCAGAATCCGACTTTTACTAAACCAATTCAGAAAATATTTAAACCGTGGCTGAAGAAAACTGCAGCTTGGTTTGTTGGTAATTGTCACAGTCAGAGTAAACGAGAACAGTTTGTAAAACTGTTACAGTTGTATGTCGACGTAGATGTGTACGGGTACTGTGGAACACGTACATGTATAAAACATGGAAAGGACCATTCCTGTCTAGACCTACTTAACAAATCGTACAACTTTTATTTATCTTTTGAAAGTTCTTTATGTCGTGACTATGTGACAGAAAAGTTTTTTAAAGTTTTTAAAACGTCTAATGTGGTACCGGTAGTGAGAGGGAACGCCCACTATAATATGTACGGCCCTCCAGGTTCCTTCATTGACAGTGCTAATTTTACATCAACAAGGAAGCTTGCTCAACATCTCTCTTCCGTGGCAATGAGTGAAAAAATATTCTCAACATTTTTAAAATTCAGAGAGAGTTACGACATGCACGATGATTTTTCGTACCCTTTCTGTGAGTTATGCCGTCGCGTGCACAATGCCCCAGCGTACCAGCGTCTGTATAATGACATAGGACAATGGTTATATGGGTCAGACAAAGTGCCTATTTGTATCCGTCCAAAAGATCTATCATGATTGATATGTATTAAAAGTATACTTTCATTACTGTTTTTTTTTATAAAAATCCTTTATATATTTTTTTATTCCATAATGTACCAAAGCGATTAAAAATTAAATTTATAAAGCTTGTGAGGCAAATGTCGGGTGATACCTCGCCCGAACTAGTTGTAATCAGCAGTCTATCCATAAGAATGTCTATCCATAACAGAATTCCACTATAAAATTTAGTCCGTACTCTAAGCTCCCCGGCATCTTGTTTTGGATATCATTGTAGGTCGAACTGGTCAGAACCAATTCGTTGAACAGGCAGCTCAGTTTGTGAAGAGGATGGAAGAGTGATCTGAGGTCCTGGGTTCGAGTTTTGGCCGGGCCTGTTGAGCTTTTACATTCAGCACTCTGTTGTTGCCTCTTTTGTTTATTTCATTGTTTTAGAAATATTCCTTTCCTTAATCTATAGTCATGCTAAAAAGACGTTTCCAATAAGAAGTTACACTTTTGGCAGTGGTATGTTTTCCTTAACATTTTTGGCAATGGTACGAGGATCCTTAATATTTTTGGCAGTGGTATGTTATGCTTAATACTTCTAGCAGTGGTACGAGTATCCTTAATACTTTTAGCAGTGGTACGGTTTTTACCTTAATACTTTAAGCTGTGTTACGGTTTTTACCTTAACACTTTTGGCAGTGGTACGGTTTTTACCTTAACCCTTTTAGCAGTGGAATGGTTTTTACCTTAACACTTTTAGCAGTGGTACGGTTTTTACCTTAACACTTTTAGCAGTGGTACGGGTGGTATGGTTTTTACCTTAACACGTTCAGCAGTGGTACAGTTTTTACCTTAACACTTTTGGCAGTGGTACGGTTTTTAACTTAACACTTTTAGCAGTGGTATGGTTTTTACCTTAACACTTTTGGCAGTGGTATGGTTTTTACCTTAACACTTTTAGCAGTGGTACGGTTTTTACCGTAACACTTTTGGCAGTGGTACGGTTTTTACCTAAACACTTTTGGCAGTGGTATGGTTTTTACCTTAACACTTTTAGCAGTGGTACGGTTTTTACCTTAACACTTTTGGCAGTGGTACGGTTTTTACCTTAACACTTTTGGCAGTGGTACGGTTTTTACCTTAACACTTTTGGCAGTGGTACGGTTTTTACCTTAACACTTTTGGCAGTGGTACGGTTTTTACCTTAACACTTTTGGCAGTGGTACGGTTTTTACCTTAACACTTTTGGCAGTGGTACGGTTTTTACCTTAACACTTTTGGCAGTGGTACGGGTATCCTTAACATGTATTCGGACTTCCACATTTGTTGACACAGTATGTTAACCCGAAAACTCTGTTTTGTCTCTGCTGGTACTTTGAAAAAGGCAGTTATCCTTACGCGCGATACATTTAAAAGTAAACACAAATTGATGATCATTCATATAAACGAGTATTCGATTGCCAAAAACTTGACAAAAATATTTCATCAGTGAAGACTGTCTACTGAAGAACGCCGATTTCTTTGTAGGTCCTACATAGTGAAGATTATTACAAAGAATAATAATACATAATATAGTATATATAGTCATATCATATGTAAGGCGAACCAATGCCGGTCTAATATTGATTTTACCAGTGAATGACAGTTTAGCAAGCAGATTAAAAACCCAGCAAACTGTCGTCATTCACTGGTTGAACTTATGAGTCAGCATTAATTTCTCCCTTCAAATATTATGACTAAGATAAGTATATTGTGGTGTTTCTCTACTCACCTTTGTAAAGCTCTTTGACAGAATACTGTTGTCGATTTTCGTTCATGGATCTATTCAGATTATGACCTTAAAGTGATGTGGTATTATACAAAAGATCCCAGAGGGATCTTAGCGCCCACCTTTGTACCATCTTCATTAGTTCTTTGTCAGTTCGATCTTTTCTCTTCTTTCCTCTAATCTGTTTGATCCAGTCATGTTAACAGTAAATGCAACTTGAGGTACCTTTTGATCTAAACTTAATACTGATGTGTATGAAAGCCAACCTTCAAAGTGAGTTTGTCATTTCACATATTTACTAGTACAGTACTTAATGTGAAAGAAATAGAATCGATCATTGCAATATGAGAAAGAAGTGTTTAGTTCTTCTTTTAATCAATTTTATGATCAGTCTCAAAATATGACATGCACAACGTGGGATCAAGGGGAACCTACATTTAAAATTTGAGAAAGATCCCTCCCGTACTTCCCGAGAAATAGCGATAACAAACTTTCAGTATCAAAATCCAAGATGGCAGCCTGTCGGCCATGTTGTTTATCCAATCAGTCTCTAAAATTGCCCTGCACAGCTAAGGAACAAGGGGAACATCCATATAAAATTTGAGAACGATCCCTCTAGTGCTTCTTGAGAAATAGCGATAACAAAGTTTCACTAACAAAATCCAAGATGGCTGCCTTTCGGCCATGTTGTTTATCTGATCAGTCTCTTAAGTTGCCCTGCACAGGTATAGACAAAGGGGATCCTACATATAAAATTTGAGAAAGATCCCTCTAGTTCTTCTTGAGAAATAGCGATAACAAACTTTCATTATCAAAATCCAAGATGGCTGCCTGTCGGCCATGTTGTTTATCCGATCAGTCTCAAAATTTGCCCTGCACAGGTATAGACAAAGGGGAACCTACATATAAAATTTGAGAAAGATCCCTCTAGTTCTTCTTGAGAAATAACGATAACGAACTTTCAATATCAAAATCCAAGATGGCAGCCTGTCGGCCATGTTGTTTATCCAATCAGTCTCTAAAATTGCCCTGCACAGCTAAGGAACAAGGGGAACATCCATATAAAATTTGAGAACGATCCCTCTAGTGCTTCTTGAGAAATAGCGATAACAAGAACTGTTTACGGACGGACGACGGACCACGGACCACGGACGCAGGGTGATTTGAATAGCCCACCATCAGATGATGGTGGGCTAAAAAGGTTTTCAATGGCCATATCACATGTTAATATTTGTCCTTGTCTAAGGAAAGGGCAGTCGACGTCCTGAAGAGACTGAGGGTTTCAAACTGTACTCAGTACAAATAATAAGCTTTTAATAGAAGTCTGATGGTATAAGCAAGACATTTACTGAATACAAACATTCTAGTATATTGACACGATAATCAAACTTCATACTTTTTTAGGCTGATACCTCAGGTCATAACGTTTCACTTGTTCATAAGTATAGATATAGATCCACACGTCTAGCTATCCCATGCGAACCAAAACAACTGGCTGGTAGAAATATTCCTTGGTCTGGGCCTGTATAGCCCACTGCTTTTAAATGTCGATATTAGCAAACAAATATCACACGTGTGGGTCTTCAATTAATGTAAGCAAATACAAGGCCACATTGAAACAAACGTTTATAGAAAGCTAGGTTAGCTAGCTAAAACCACAGGCTATAGGTAAATACAATTCCTTTATACCTTTGTTGGGGGATTTAAACTTATTTCACTCGTGAGATATTGGTTTAGTCAGGGCTATTTATTTAAAAGTAACCACTCTGCGTCTATGAATTAAAACGATTTTTCCTTTTTTTAAATTTTCGATCCGTTTGAAATAAAACTTGGGAATTAACATCAGCATGTCAGGAGCTTTACATGGCTTCATAACTGTGGCGCCACAGCATTCACCCATGGAGCCACGGCCACCAGTCATTTCTTTACTCGAGCCTAAAATTCATACAGTAGCTAGGCGTTACTTTCGGGTATTTCTGACAGAAGATGTTACTGTGATCGATTGTACGTAAAATTACACAGGCCTAACCTTATTCTGTCCCAGGTTAAGTCGATGTCAAAAGATATGTTATAACAAGTTAGCAAATATCAATATAAACACATTTACAGTACAACTTCGATTTAATAACCAGCATTTCATTTGCTACCTTACTTACAGCCAAATTCTTTTGCGGTCCCTTAGTTCTGTTTTACTTTAACAATTCCTTTATACGTTTCCCTCAATTTATTGCTAATCGCCTTTATAAAGCCAATATTTCACTGCACAAATGGTGGCAATATTACCAGGTTCTGCTGTACCTTAACATGTTGTACATTTCAAAAGAAGAGATGACCAAACAACGTAAAATTGGGAGACGTGGAAAATTTTAATCAATTTTGCTATTGCCGAGTCTCCTCTTTTGTTGTCAGGTCATTTCTTCTTTTGAATTTATTTCTCTTATGCCGAACAAGCGAATTCCATATAAAACCATCAGCTGGGGTATGCTTAACTTCACTGAAAATACCAAGAGCGGGCGTTGGATCTCCATCTCTTTGGTATATGTTATACATTTGTTGTAGTTGGCTAATCTGGTATTGTTAGTTTAAGAATATTCTTGTTGTTGTAAAAATGGTTCAGCACATTGCTTCCACTCCATGTAAATGCCTCAACCGTATAATAGTCAGCAATCTTTTGATGATCCAACACCGCACAAAACAACTTGCCTAAAAACTTTAACCTTAAGCTCGCTCTAAAACTTCAACCTAATCCAATTATGCTGTTTTGGGCCCCTAAAACATGTAAATATGGTTCAGCACATTGCTTACACTCCATATAAATACTTCAACCTTATCTTAGACAAATATGTAGGAGTGTGATGATCCAACACTGTCCAGAAAAATCTTGCACAAGTTTAAACTGAGTGAAGTGGGACGCCGACGCCAGGGTGACTACATTAGCACCCCTTTGCTTCGAAAAAGATACATCATCGGCTAACATGTTTTCCCATCTGGAAACTTAAGCTGGCATACACACAAATCAGAGATCGTAGCGAAGGCAAACAAACTACTTAACATACTACATGCACTACCTTCCTTAATCCTGCGACTTGGTTTAGAGACTCCCTACAAATCAATGGTCAGATCTATATTGGAATATGGTAATACATTGTTTGACAATTGCAGTCATTTGGAATCTGAACTTATTGAAAGTGTACAACGAAGGACAGCCTTACTATGCACGGGTGGTTATAAGGTAACGAAATATACTAAACTTCTAAGTGAATTATACTGGGGATCACTTAGTGACAGA